CGAGGAGGTGACTTGGGAGAACGATCATGATAGGCCTAGCTGTTATCCTCATCTTTTCATCACTTTAGGTATGTATTTATACTCGTCCGAGGACGAACATTTGCTTTAAAAGGGGGACGATGTAACGACCCGGCCGATCATTTTGAGTATTTTAGCCCTGATCCCCAAATTTATTCTTCCTCTAATTTATATTGTGGTTACCTGACTTGCATGGGTGCTTGGTGTCTAGTTCGGGAGAGTATCAATTTGAAATGGGACACATAGTTCCTAAGTTGGAAGTTTAAGTCGTAGGAGTTGACCGTCGTTTTACTTATATGAAGACGACTCCAGAATCGAGTTTTGATGGTTCCAATATCTCCATATGGTGATTTTGGTCTTAGGAGCGTGTTCGGACATTGATTTGGAGGTCCGTAGGTCGTTTCGACATTAATTGGCGAAAGTTGGAATATTTTGGGAAGTTTGATCGGGAGTGGACTTTTTGATATCGAAGTCGGATTCCAATTCCAAAAGTTGGAGTAGGTCCGTAATGTTATTTATTACTTGTGTGCAAAATTTAAGGTCAATCGGACTTGATTTGATAGGGTTCATCATCGAATGTAGAAGTTAAAAGTCTATAAGTTCATTAGGCTTGAATTGGAGTGTGATTCGTGTTTTTGATGTTGTTTGATGTGATATGAGTCCTAGACTAAATTTGTATCATGTTTTAGGACTTGTTGGTATATTTGGTTGAGGTCCCGGGGGCCTCGGGGTAATTCGGACCATGTTCGGCACATTTCGAAACATTTAAGATTGCTACATTTGGTGCTTTTACTTTCCTTCTACGCGTTCACAAAGGTGTTCCCGCGTTCGCGTAGAGTCTTCAGGGATGGCTGGAGATTACCCTTCACGTTCACAAAGAAGGCCACATGTTTGCAAAGGGGTCAAGATTTTGTGCATGCGATCGCGGACAAGGAGTCGCGTTCGTGAAAAGGAAAGGCGGGATGGGGATACCTCACACGGTTGTTCTATGCATTCGCAAGTGAAGCTTCGCAATCGCAAAACTTGAGAGTTTTGGCAATCGCATTAGCATGAGGAATCTCGCGTTTGCGAAGAGGATATTGGCAGCTGTGTAATTTTGTGCATCGCGAACGCGAGGATCATTCCGCGTTCGCAATTAAGCTAGGAATCGCTGGGCAGCAGATTTAAGTTTCAAAATCGATGGTTTATTCCACATTTCATATTTTGGACTTAGAAAGCTCAGTTTGAGGCAAAATTTCGAGGAATTTTCAGAGGGATTGTAGGGATAAGCGTTCTTAACTCGTTTTTGATTAAATTCCACTAATCTATCATCGATTTCATCATGTAATTAGGGATTTATGGAGGAAACATTGTAGAAGTTCTCACACTAAATTTTTGAGTTTTGAAAGGCGAATTGAGGTCGGATTTGAATAATTCTTGTATGGTTGGACTCGATATAGAATGGATATTCGAATTTTATGATTTTTCTCGGGTTCTGAGATGCTAGGCCTGGGGTGACTTTTTCGGGCTATTTTTCAATTCTTTGCTAAAATTATAATTTCATTATTTAAATTAGTTTCCCATAGTTATATTTATAGTATAATTTTTTTTGGCTAGATTCGAGCCGTTCGGAGTTGGAAAATCGAGGAAAAGGCCTTCTAGTGGATTGATTTAGTGTGGTTTGAGGTAAATGACTTGTCTAATCTTATGTGTGGGAAATTCCCTTTAAGATTTGGTATTGTTGTGATAATTGTGATACGTGGAGGCCGTGTACGCAAGTTTACGAGTGCGCACACGGGCTAGATGCTGAAATTCCGATTTTAGCTACGTGGTTTCCTTTTCATGCCATGTTGTATGGAACTGAATGTTGGCCGGTAAAGAACTCACACACCCAGAAGATGAAAGTAGCAGAGATGAGGTGGATGTGTGGGCATACAAGGATGGATAAGATTAGGAATGCAGATATTCGAGAGAAGGTGGGTGTGGCCCCCATGGAGGACAAGATGCGGGAAGTAAGACTCAGATGGTTCAGGCACATTCAGAGGAGGAGCACTGATACACCGGTGAGGAGGTGTGAGCGACTGGCTGTAGTGGGCACGCAGAGAGGTAGAGGGAGACCTAAGAAGTATTGGGGAGAGGTGATCAGACAGGACATGGCGCGACTTAGGATTACTGAGGACATGGCCCTTGATAGGGAATTATGGAGGTCGAGCATTAAGGTTGTAGGTTAGGGGAGAGTGTGAATATTTCTACAGCACAAGTGAGGGAGACTATCTAGTTAGGAGTTAGACTAGGAATGTCAGTGGTCGTCTATTGATGCAGGGCTTTACCTTCTAGTTGTACTATACCAGCCATCTATTTCGTATTTCGTATTTCGTATCCTGTATTTCATATTTCATATCTCTTATATATTGTTGTTATTTTTATTACGCATTTTTATGGTACTAATATATCATCTCCTATTGTTTTTTTAAGCCGAGGGTCTCCTGGAAACAGCCTCTCTACCCTTCGGGGTAGGGGTAAGGTCTGCGTACATATTACCCTCCCCAGACCCCACTTGTGGGATTATACTGGGTCGTTGTTGTTGTTGTTGTTGTTGTTGGTTTCCTTTTCATGCCTTAATTAAGCTACGTTAGCATGTTATAGTCATCATGTTTAGCCTAATTTCACATGTCTACCTGTCTTATCTCTTATTTGCAACTTGTACTACATGTTTAGTTGAGTTACTTGCTTTCTTAATTCCGTATTCATTATCTATCTATGGGATTCTCTAATTGAAATTGTTGTCCTTGAAATATCTTGTTGTTGAGTTTAGTATTGAGTTGCAAAGGCCGTAGTTTCTATTGAGGCAAAGCATAAGCTGTGATTATCGCTTTAATTAGTTGTTATGTCTTGGCATTTGTGTTACTGTTAAGTTGATTGTTTGGTTGTGTGCACGAGGTTTCTGTCGTGCCTTTGCGATTATTGATATGCATGCGGTGGTATAAGGTCCGGATGTTGAAACGCATGCGGTGAGATCAGGTGGGCTTGATGCGCGTGTCTAGTAGGGGAATTACTAGAAGCCATGCAGTGTAATAAGATGGGCTGAAACGCGGAGTGCTATTTCGGGAAAAATAATTTTCAAAACTAAATGTAAAGGCTCCCGCGATGATATAAGGAAAAGAATGTGAGTTACTTTTATGATTTGAGACTAGAGGCGGTACCTCGGGAGTGCCCCTGTTGATCTTCTTTATTTGCTATATTGTTTGGTTGTTGTTTCCTTAACGTGTAAAATTCTTGTTTTCCTTTCGTGTTGTATTAGTTTTCCTTGATTCCGTATTGTTACTTCCCATAAATTCTTTATTGTTTCACTTCCTTTTCATTTTTATTATATCATTATATCGTTATATCTCCTATCTTGTTTCTTATTATCTCCAGTAGGGCCTTGACTTGACTTCGTCACTACTCTACCGCAGTTAGGCTTGACACTTACTGGGTACCGTTGTGGTGTACTCATACTACGCTTCTGCACATGTTTCGTGCAGATCCAAGTACATCCTATCAGTCTCGGTATTAGCGCATGAGCGGCTTGCTTGGAGACTTCAAGGTACACCTGCCCGCATCTGTAGGCCTCACAGTCCACTTCTATCCTGTCCTTTTTCTTATTTCTTTACGCCTTCATAGATAGTGATGTATAGGAGCATTCAGTACTGTATCTAGAGCTTGTGACTTGTATTTACACCGGGTTTTGGGAGATGTACACATTGAGTTGTAGATTTTGTTTCATATAGTTGTTGATATTTTTTAGATTTAAATTATTATTCATTCACTCCGCATGTTTGCTAGACTTACCTAGTCTTAGAGACTAGGTGCCGTCACGATATCCTACGGAGGGAATTTGGGATTTTGACAAATAGTATAACGAGGGGTAGTTCTAAACAATTTATAATAATATAGTGGTATATCAGACCCTTTTTCGTAAAATATAATAGAAGTTATTTTATTAAATTTAATTCTGATAAAATTTATATGCCAACACTTCACACTATTTAGTCCTCATAATCTGAAATTACATATGAGGATCTCTCGGGATTTGGTCGGCCATGACATCGAAGCGAATTCAAAGGATCTGCAGAAAGATACTCATATGACATTTTGTTTGGATGGTTATTAGCATATGGGAAGTAGTGTTTTGAAAGGCATTGGCACAAGGCGAGACGTTTTATATATTTTTAATGAGGTATAAGTCCCAAGGCACGGGGTGTAATCCTCATGAGTATTTAATTTTTAATATTTTTATAAAATAATATAATTACAATAATTATTTTTAAATATGTAAAATTTCATAAGAATTGAAGAAAACTATAAATAAGTGAAAAAAATATATAGATGTGCTTCATTCCTACAAAAAACTAGTCAAAACAATCCATTATACGTTACTTACAAACACAAGTAACTTGAATTGAAAAGAATAAATTTTTCTCTATGTAGGAACAAAAAGGATGATTAACCTACAATTTGAACTTTGAACTTGCTGCTATGAAGAAGAATAGAGATAATACCAGACCAGCGGACAAGATAAAGAATTAGAAAAGATCATTAATTAGGGCTTCTAGCAATAAATAAAAAGACTTGACTTTTAAATTTAATATTTCAATTCCTTTTTTAAACTTTTGCGTAGTTACAAGCTACCTTCTGAGAATTTGGGTGTTATATTAAGGACTTTTCAACAAGTTTTGTATTAATTTGAAAAAGTCTCTTGGGCTTGAGTCTCATTACAAAAACGTGCCTCAACGCCCGACGTACACCCTGATTTACTAGGTGTACGCCTCTTGAGACTTTCACCGCCTACCATCGCCTCAGGCCATTTTTGGTGCACCTCACCCCACTGATCGAAAGTTTTTGTATGTGGTAGAGCAAATGTTCTTTTACAAACTACTTTTATACCTATTTTTCACTATAAATTTTGAAAATAAAAAAACCTTAATAGATAAATGAGTAAAAAGGCTGCCAGAGTGGAATTTCCAACTGTCTCTAACGAATAGCAGAAAACTGGTTGGTTGGGAATTGGATACAGAAAATCTCTACTCCAAAAAATGGCGACTCTTTCATTTTCGTGTTCATCTCCTTCTTTGAATTACCAGCCTCAAACCTTCCTTTCTCATCCCTCTCACTTGCCATATGCTCTCTCCTACTCTTGCAATCTTCTCGAAGGTTCATTTTTCTTCTTTATTCTCTCTCTCTTATCTTCTTTGAATGAAATTATTACATTAACTCCCACTACTTGTTCAGGTCCCAAGAAAAACGGCAACCCATATATCTCTAGCTGCAACAACCCTGTGCCTCGTACAAAAAAAGGGTATCTTTCATTTCCTTTCTTATCTTTTTCGGGTCATTTGACTACAGTAAAGTACCCAAAAATACTTTGTGACCAAAAATAGTTTCTTAACTTTACTGTTATAGTGGGTAAAATTTTGTGATTTTATTGCTACAGCGGATAAAGTTGAGTTATTTTAATTGACAAAATACATTCTTGATTTTATTATTATATTATTATAGTAGGTAAACAGAATAGATTTGTGAGTTGATTGTTATAGGGAGTAAAGTTGGCGATCATATGTTATTTTATTCAGTTACGATTAACTTATGTCAGTTTTCCATTTGCTAGATCAATGATCAGAGTACATTTCTGAATTTAAAATAATTGTATAGTGTGCAAGTTAAAGGAGAATGTGTAACCAAGAGAAGAGAACTCCTGCTACATGCAGGCTCTGTTGCATTTTCTCTGTCCGCTTTTAGCTCGATCGCATTGGCAGAGAACGGTACGCTTTGACTAATTTTAATGCTTTGACATGCCCGGTATCCTTCATAATGTCTACTTGCTAAAAAAGGTGATGTTATTTCAGATGTCGCTGAGGATTTTCGTGTTTATTCAGATGATGTCAACAAGTTTAAGATAATGATACCTCGTGGTACGGTTTCACATTCCATTTTTACTTCTTGAATGCAAGTATTGTAGTTGCTCTTCATCAATGCAACCATGCGCAGAAGAGGGATAATAACTATTCCAGCATTTGCTAGTGACTGTTAATTATAATATAAAGAATTGGTATGTTATGTAGGAACAAAAATAGGATCTTTATGGCTTAGATATTGAGATGTAAAATTTTAAATCTCATAGTTCTTGGGGAAAAACATGATGGTAACCAGACGGGGAGCCTAAATTTGAAAGTTATGGGTTCAAGGTTCTAATTTTTTTAAGTTACTGGTTTCTAAATTAATAATTAGTACATACTCAATGAATTCCATAAGATAAATACAGAGTTTGGACCAAAGCTACTGGGTTTGGCCGAACCCGTAGCTGATGGGCTAGCTCCGCTCCTGATGGTAACGAGCTGAAGAATTACTTGCAGATTGGCAAATAGGCGCAGGAGAAGGTGATGGAGTGAGGTCGCTCATAGCTTTCTATCCTCAAGAAGCTTCTAACACAAATGGTATTAAGTTGGACATTGTAATGGATTGGTTGTTTGAGTCTTAATATATATAAAACTTGATCATCTGTTGCTTCAGTTAGCATTGTAATCACAAGCCTTGGTGCTGATTTCACCAAATTGGAATCTTTTGGGAAAGTTGATGCTTTTGCCGAGAATCTGGTGGGGTTTAATCCATCTTTACTTTTGAAAAACTCTCCTTTTCTTTTTATATTTTTGCTTCAGTTGGCATTCTTACTTCAGTTCTCAATGATTTGTTACAGGTTAGTGGATTAGACAGAAGCTGGCAAAGGCCGGCAGGAGTGAAAGCAAAACTCATAGATAGCAAAGCTTCTAAAGGTATACAACACAATCTAAAACACTCGATAAAACTTGACTGGTCGCGATGTTATTTAGGGGTGCTTCCGATTGAGGAATCACATTTGATTGAGTAAAAGTGCTTTTTAATCTGTTTCCATTATACAGATTAAAATTTGGAGCTTTCTTAAACTATTGTTGGAGCTTAAAATGTAGGCTCTCATTTATTGCCACTAACTTACTGCTAAAGAACCCCGTTAATCTATGGACTTCAAACGCTACAAACTGTCATATTGATTTTTTTTTACTTTTAAATCAAACAGTCTGTTTATAAAGGGATGAAATGGAACGCATACTATTGTGCCTACACAACTACAAAGTGCTTTTATGAAATGATTGCTACAGACCACACAGCCTTATTTGAGGTACTCATTTCCGAAAAGTCGACAAGAAAAACTGCTGAAATAATAGCCAATGCACTCATATACACAGCCTGTATTTCTATTGTGTACCTAGACCATTTTGGGAGAATGAAACTTCAATAGTGAGAAACTTCGAATGAAAGAAACCACAATTGATTAATTGGATAAAAGAAACTAAGTGATTTTATCTCACTGAAGCAGTTGTGACTTTCCATTTCCTTTGCTTGAAAGCTAGGCAGTTTATACTTGCTCGATATTTTGAGGCAATTTGAGTTTAAGGCCACTGCTGATTGTCACTATTAATCAGGGTTGTATTACATCGAGTACACTCTCCAAAATCCCGGTGAAAGTCTCAGACATCTATTTTCAGTGCTTGGGATAGCAGACAACGGGGTTTACAATAGGCTGTATACTCTCACTGGACAGGTCAGCTTAATGAAGCAAAAAGACGAGCATTAGACTTACTTACTTTGGCTTTTTATTTATCCATTACGAGAGGATGATGAAGAGTGTGATAGATTTACTTTACGAGGAGACTGTAATTGATCGTAAGATTTAATTTATCTTGCAGTTTGTAGACGAGGAGGCAGAGAAATACGGTGCCCAAGTAGAGAAGGTAATTTAAGAGAATTTTCTTCCGCTTTTGTGTATGCTAGTTTCATGAGTGAAGATATGCATCACAAAAATGTTTATAGTTCCCACTTTTTAGGTCTTTATGTTCATGATTAATATGTTTATAAAGCATGAAACAGGTAAAAGCTTAAAGTATAACTGGATAATAGATGGAAACTTATGCAATGCAATACTGCTTTGAATAACTTAAATTCATGTCTTAGACACTATAAGAGAGAGCTGATATGTTGAAGTAAGTTCAATCAGTTTGAATCCAGGGAAAAACAGTTTGCTCTTGTGTGATTAACTCTTACATAAATATTTATGTCGCAATGCCCTCTTATTGCCCTGTTTTGCACATGAATTCTTTATCATTGGTTGTGTTTTTAAGTGATGATTATTTTCTAGTGGATCCTCTTAAACACGTTTTGAATCATTGTCTGAATCTTCTTCCACTGTGCAGGCTGTTTCTTCCTTCAGATTAATATGATGACATAATAGGGAGCAATATCACAAATTTTGGCTTGAGCTTCTGGTTTGCTAGCCTGTGAATGGCACAGTGGATAAGAACATAATGTGGGTAAGCTATATTGTGATGAACCAACTACTTGATCAAGTTTTTTGACAAAAAACTACTTATTAGAGCTGGCATTTACATATATCAATATATACCAAAACTGTATGACAAATATGACCATGGTTCAGATGTAATATGACCAAATTTTGGACACTGCAAACATTTGTGTCAAGGGGATGTCGTGCTTATACATTTATAGTTTTCTTCATGACCTCACAGGTAATTTGAGTTTTATAGTCATCAATGATGAATGGTAGATTAATTAATAAATGTATAACCCAAATTATTCTGAAGTTCGATTAACACATTAATTTCTTCTACAACAGTTAGTATACTTTAATCTTTTTGAAGATTTTAACCATGACTTGATGATCCCAAGCGATGCATATTTCTAGTTATCACTATTAACTAGGACCTCAAACGTCTATATTATGTCATTTGAGAAGAAGGAGCTGAAGGGGCAAATATGTCATTTGACACACAAGGGAAATAGGTTGAGTCCATTTATTAAGGAGGAAGGGGCCAAATATATCCATCCATATTATCTACATTTAATCTCCGTTATACTATCCAGCCAAATTTATTCCTACAATTATTTTAAATTTGGCGAGGTTAGATGTAGACATTATTCGAAAGTAAAGGAATAAATTTGGATCTTTTCTCTTTATTAAAATACCGCTAATTATAGAGACATTCAGCTAAGACGACGTAATTTTTTAATGTATTTAAAAATTGTAAAGCTTAAAGTTACGCTTAATAAAATTAAAGATTTTTACAATTTGAGATTTTTAAAGTCAATGTCGGCCTTTTCACATTCTAGCTTGGAATAAGGCATAAATATTCCCTAAATTTGTGTCAAATTTGCAGTTAACACACATGTACTTTACGGAGGTCCTATACTTATCATTTATTTTTAAGGCCAAAAGGTAATGTGGAATTTAAATTCTGACATCATTCTCCATATTTGGATTGGCAATCAATTTGGGATTCCTAGATTTTGCTCATTTTAATATACTAATATATCATCGAACGAATTGGTATCGTATTTTTCGAAAGTGATCTTCTAACCCATGTGAATGCAACTTGCGTTTTCATTAATATTGAACATTTATGTGGGGCATTTGTATCTATACCCGTTTTTAGGGTTACGTTTTAATTTGTGTCCGTTTTGTAAAAAAAATTGCAAATATACCCACTTTTTTGCGTAACTTCAGCATACGGGGCTGAAGTAGCAAAGACAATCAGGGGCAGATTTACAGTGTACCGAAGGGTTCACGTGAACCCGTGGTCTTTGACAAAAATTGTATATATTATGTATATAATTCATATAATTTGTCCAAATACTACCTTTGTGAACCCATGGTTAGATTTGTTGTGTTGTTTCACTGGTTAAGTAGCTGCAATTTTTCCCTAGGGACCAGGGATCGATCCTTATCAGCTTATTTATTCTATTTTTTTTTATATTATCATACTAGTGGTGAACCCATTCTCCAAGAATCCTGAGTTTGTCCCTGAAGTCAATCACGCAAAATTTCAGCATTCTAGTAGACGGGTCTGACGTAACAAGTGTGCTGAAGTTTTTGTTTGTAATTGTTGAACTTAAGCATAGTAGCTGAAGTTTTGTTCTCTATTTGCTGAAGTTTTTGTTTGTAATTGCACTAAATAAGCTGAAGTTTTTTTGTCTTGGATTCATTAGTTTTGCCATTAAGCTTTTTCAAAAGCTTCAGCAGAAGATGATAAAGTTATTTAGTTCATTTATAAAAACTTCAGCACTAAATAAGCTGAAGTTTTTTTGTCCTGGATAAACTTTTTCAAAAACTTCAGTAGAAGATGCTGAAATTATTTAGTTCATTTGTAAAAACCTCAGCACTAAATAAGCTGAAGTTTTTTTGTCCTGGATAAACTTTTTCAAAAACTTCAGTAGAAGATGCTGAAATTATTTAGTTCATTTGTAAAAACCTCAGCACTAAATAAGCTGAAGTTTTTTTGTCCTGGATTCATTAGTTTTGTCATAAAGCTTTTTCAAAAACTTCAGCAGAAGATGCTGAAGTTATTTAGTTCATTTGTAAAAACCTCAGCACTAAATAAGCTGAAGTTTTTTTGTCCTGGATTCATTAGTTTTGTCATAAAGCTTTTTCAAAAACTTCAGCAGAAGATGCTGAAGTTATTTAGTTCATTTGTAAAAACTTCAGCACTATCTAAGCTGAAGTTTTTGAATTTTTTTTTGATACATCAATGCCTTTTTTCTTAACGTCGTCAAGGTTTGTCTTGTTAGTAAAATCGAATTCCAACTTCTCATCAACTGAGGAGTTATAAGTTTGTGCCGAGTTTAAGAGGATTTTCTGTAACTGTATATCATCATCGTCAACGTAGCCGTCAACGCCGTCTTCATAATCGAAATCCAAGGATTCCCAGTGATATTCAGCTTTTTCATCAAATTGTAAGGTTTTCTGACAGAGCTTTCCATATAATATGCTACTTTCTTCGTCAAAAATATCTACTAGTGATACTTTTTCGTTTTCATTTTCAGTAAGCTACTGTATTGTTAATACTTTAGTTGTTTAGATGGAAAGAGTATCTTGTCAAACTTTGATGATGAGTCGTGTAACTATTTAAGGAATTACATTATATTATAGTTATCATATGAATATTTTTATATTTTAGCATGTTACTATTTGTCTTTTGTTTTACCCGTCAATTCATAGTTTGTTAATTGTAGTTGGCTTTATATAAAGTTTACAAAGAAAAGGGCAGAAAACGAAGGAGGAGAATGAGGAGGAGAAAGGAGGCTGAAATTGTTTAAAAAGTGGGTACAAATTAAAAAAAATTAAGAAAATGGGTATAGATTAAATAGGAGAGACCAAATAGGGCGTCTCATGCAATTTTTACCATTTATGTTCTTCAATAAATAATTGCTAAAAATATTGAGACCCAAATTTCTTTTAATCAATTCCAGAAGTAGAGTTTTAGATGATCTGGATAATTAAGACAAGAAATTAAACACCAATTGGTGCCGAATTCTTAAGAGATTTGTCGAAAGTGATCTTTTAGCACATGTTGAAAGCAATAATTAATTACCAAAGGGTGTTGGGATCAGAGGCAGCTTGACATAATTTGGGCCTAAAGTGTAACTACAATTAAAGGCACAACTCTTTATAATATTATTTTTCAATTGATAATATAGCTAACCGATTTAATCACTATTAAGACGCTGATTTTATGTATTTTTATTTTAAAAACTTCTTTATGTTGAGGCAACCGTTAGGCATTTGAAAATGAATCAAGTCTTTTGGGTTATAAGTATTTCAATTAGAGTATTATCTTCTATTTGTACTAATTCCCATAACACTTTTAACTCAAAATATAAGTCTAATCCATCAATATTAGAGTGACTATTATACTTTAAGGAACATCAAAGCTTATTGCAATATTTTTTGTTTCCTTCAAATTCTCATCATCTAGTAATCTCAATATTTTAAAATAATACCTATAGGTTTTAGCGGTTAGAATGTGAAAAAAGCAAATGAAAGTTACATAAAGTTTTAGGAAATTATAAAGATATTTTACTTTAACAAAAGACTTTTCCAATCACATTAACTTCACAATGATTTTTTACTATAAAATACTTAGATATTTTTAAGAAAAAATTAATACATAACATATTCCTTCTAAAATTGGGGCCCCTCGAAATTGGGGACCTAAAGCATATGCCTTACTTGACAATCCTTTTGATCACGCTTTGGTTGGGATCTCTTCACCTTTAATTGAAAATTTTCAAGTTCAACATCTGAAAATAGAGAACTTTTTGGTAAAGAGCGTTTTACCCCTTAGTAGGTGTGAATCTAGATTAATCTGATTATTGTATTTTATATTGGTTTAAAAAGGAAGAAAAAGATCTGCTAAAGTGGAGAAAAAAGAAACCCCTAATGAAACTAACGTTTGTTTATTCAGAATTGGCCGCCACCTTATTAGAATTGTCTCCTTTGTACAACTTATCAACTCCTTTCAATATTTGAGATATCTGAAGATGAAACTTACGTTATTTGTTCATTCGGATCGTGCTAAAGAAAATAGTCACACGAATCCACTGTCAAATATATAGAAGGTTGTCTTATTTAATTTGTACTACTTTGACACGATATTTGGTCCAATAGGTATTGGATTTTTTCAGGGAAAGGATATGAAAAAGGATATTGAAGGAAATAACTAGAAAAAAGTAAAAATTTTACCGTTCCCAAAAATAATAGCCGATAAAATGTATAATTTTTTTTGTATATATGTGTATTATATACATATGATATACATATTTTATACACTTTTTGGCTAGTGAATGCAATTAATTTAGGAATATATAACATGGTTACCCATAAAAACCAAAATAATTACCCTGAATCTACCCATACAAAATAATTACGCGACCCTACCTATATAACGTTTCGGTATATATGTATACAACAATAACAACAACAACTACCCAGTAAAATCCTACGACTGGAGTCTGGGAGGGTAGTGTGTACGTAAACCTTACTTCTACCCCGATCGGTATTATATGTATACTACTATAGTATACTATTGTAGTATAATTATATACTCTATTTATAGTATACTCATACAATATATTGTGATACAGTAGTATGTATTGTTGGGTAACTGTGTTTTAATTTAAATTTCTGCTAAAAAATTGCATATTATTATTATAGTATATCGTTCCAGTATATATGTATATTATTACAATATACGGTTCCAATATAGCTGTATACTCTTACAATATATTTTGATACCGTAGCAATATATTGTTGGGTAAATTTGCTTTTATTCAGTTTCAGCTGAATTATTGCAAAATTTACAATATATCGTTTTGTTAGCTTTTTTTTTAAATAAAAAAAACTTATTTTATTTCGATTTATATTTGTCTTTAGATTGTGTCGCATATAATAGGTCCTAGTAATAATATTCCTCAGAGTCCGTTAATCACAGTATGTTGTCAGGGGCGGATGTAGCCTTTCGGATATGAGTTTAACTGAATCTATAACTTTCGATACAAAAAATTAATTTATACGTAAACACTTTTTAAAAATAATTATTAGATTTGAACTCGTAATTTTAATAGTATAATGAGTTCAATGCTAAAATTTTAAAAGTTAGAACCCATTAAATTTAGATTGGGGATCTTGATCTTTGAATGCAAGAAAAAAGTTACAAAGAAGC